ATCCTAACCATAAACTCTCATGTGACATGAGTATGAGAACTCCTCGTTGATTGCGTTTAGTGGACTCATTCTCTATTGAGCACCTACATACTTGTCTTGGTGTCAATCACACCAATGACTTGAGACTAGTAACTTTTTTAGAGAGAAGACATAAAATGTACTGATTTTAACGGATCGTCAATGCCTAATTGATAATCCTATGATCATGAATGTTTAGGATATGTGTACGAAAGAGAATGGCTTCATGAATCTAACTTCTTTAGATCACATTCTCCTAATTACATATTCATCGGACTTATTGTTTAAGCGTATACCATTTATATGAGATGACTTTAAATAATAATCTTCATTCTTATATTAAACTAGTTTAGTTTAGTTTAACATGTGAAATTCCACAAAATATCATCATATTATTGGATTTAGGGCATAGTTCCAACATGTATAAGTACTAATCAATTGGATTGATACCGATCACCCCACTGCCTTGCTAATTGGAGCCTAAAACGATTGTGCACCAATACACTCATGTGATGAGATAACCAAAGGTTGATGGAATTAATTAATTATATTAATTAAGTAATGATTAATTAGAAAGTCTAAATAAATTATAGAAGCAATGAAACATCATTTTTGGGCTTAATGGAAGTTCGGGTTCTTTCAAGCCTACCGGGCCTCAATCCCATAGGACTTTTAACTCAAGTATAAGATGGCTTGAAATGAGAAAATCCCAAGCCAAGCCAAGCACAAAGTGAGGCCGGCCATTGAGGGTGAAAGAGAGGGAGAAATTCTAATTGTTAGGGTTAGTTCTCTCTTCCTATAAAAAGGAAGTTATAAGGAAAAGTTCCCTTAGGGTTTTTATGTGAACATCTTGCCTCAGGAGCAACAAAAACAACTTTCTCTCTCTCACTTAGGCCTACCACCAAGGGAAGAAGATAGTTGCTTATCTCTTTTTCTTTTAGTTATTCCTTCATCCATCTCAGTACACTAGTAAGTGTGGATCTTTAGAGGTCTTCAATCTTGGAGACTAAAGGAGAATAAAAGAAGCCCAAATTCTTCATAATTTCCAAACTCCTTATGTTTTATGCTTACACACTCTGAGAAATGTAAGCCCACATGTGGATAGAATCTGTTCTCCTCAACCAAGCAAACAAGCTCTGAAAGTTGGAAACAACCTTTAAGAATGAACTAGAAGTCAAAATTTAGTTTGAGAGACAATTTAAGGAGAAGTCTGCTGAGCCCACATGTGGATAGAATATGCTCTCCTCAACCAAGCAAACAAGCTCTGAAAGTTGGAAACAACCTTTAAGAATGAACTAGAAGCCAAAATTTAGTTTGAGAGACAATTTAAGGAGAAGTCTGCTGAGCTTAAGGTTCTAAAAAATGTTAGGCGCTAGTCAGACGGCGCGCTAGAGGCTAGCGCCTAGGAGCCTAGTTCTAGGCGTGCTAGGCAGATTTAAGCACATTTATGATATATGATATAAATAAGTAACTATTTACACAATAAACCTAGGCTTGCATTGGAATTTAGATTTATTAATTTATTATCTAATATATAACATACAAAAAAATATTAATTGAGTGATACATTTCTTTACTAATTAAATTGCCACAAAGGGGCCCCACCTCCTTCATTTTCAAAGCAAATGATCTGATTGAATAATAATTAAAAAGGAAAAATAACGAAAAGAAGCAATTGGCCACACGAAAAAAGGTGCAATCATCTCCCTTATCCTTTTCTCAAAACTGCAACAGATCTCGTTTCTCTCTTTTTGCAACATCTACCGACTGCTCACATCGTGCTCCATCTGCAATTGTCATCGATGGCATTTTCGCACTTGCATCCTCTTCTTTGCAACAGTCATCCAATGCCTCCTCAAAATGCTCCATTAGCCTCCTTTGCACACAACTTATCTCACCCACTAGTTACTCTTCCACCAAAGTCCTATGACATTTCTTTCAAAGTTACAGAGTCGTCACTAGCTGATTAAATCACCAAGTGCCCACCTAGCCCACCAGATGCCGCTTAGCCCTTCTAATCGGCTGCTTAATAGCCTCGTCGATTTGCTAAAAGATTTTCGGTTAGTCGTGGCGGTGCTATGTCGCCTGCCGCTTAGGTGGCTGCCTAGGCCACTTTTTAGAACATTGACTGAGCTAGAGAGAGTGTTAGTAGAATAGCGATTGGAGAAAATTTCCAGCAAGTCCGAGCTGGCGATAAACTGTTCCATGAGGAGATTAAGGCCATAAACCTCCAACCAAAGATGGTTAAGGTCAAACTGAACTTGGAATTGGGGTAGAAGGCCAAAGCTAAGGTAGAAAGGACATTGACGGTGAAACTGAGTAATTGGAACACAGATTGTTCCAATCTCAAGTTTGATGTAGACAAGCTAGTCCATGGGGTGGAGTTTAAGGAAGAGGCGCATGCCACAACCCTTTAACAAACAAGAGAAAAAAGGAGAGGCATGCCATAACCAACTCTGGTGATACACGCAAAGAATATTTTATGGGTTAAATTATTGCTGCTACTGTCCGCGGTTAAGCTTAACATAATCAAAATATGAAAAGCTTGCTACTGTACGCATATAGATAAGCATGAAGAAGCCATTGCAATTGCAGGATATCAGTTATCATGCCCATATAAGCTTAACCATTCTTCTGCAATTTTTTGTTTCTATCCATTGTTATTTGACGCTTTTTAAATTACACCTAGTAGAGAATTATATCTCTATTACTGAAAATGAGTTTGTTGGTTTTACACATAAAAGATTAATGAATCTACTACTCGTTGTTTGTTGAAGTGATTCATGAAAAAAAAAACCATGTTTTTTCTCTTACCACTTTGCATAGCCCTTTTTTTTATTTTTTTTTATGGCACAATTTGTACCAAATAAGCAATCAAGTTCTCCGATGTGAACGTGGAGCTCTTGATAACTCATATATTTCATGCATTTATACCATCTATTTCTAGTCTCTTTGTGATGTTTTTGAGTTAAACTGGTTGCATTTTACCCTATTTTGTGTTAGTGTGCAATTACATGTACTTTAGGATCATTTTGAAGGCAAAAGAAGGGAAAACATGCCCTTTTTGGAGTTGATCCTTATTCAAATGTGGAGAGAAGTTTAGTGGCTTTTTTTGAGCCCAAATACAGTTGTTACTTGTTTTGAAGTCCAAATAAAGAATCCAGGAGGAATCTGGCTTGTTAGAAGATCAGAAACAGAATGGGAAAGGAATTGGGATATCTAGCCTGATTTAGAGGTGCCAAATAAGGCAAAAACCTGCAAAATAAAGGCTAAGTTGCTGGGATCACTTTGGAATATCTTCCAGCCTCTTTTACCCCATAAAAACTTGCCTTTTAGCCACTTTTACATGCCCTTTTTATTTTGGGCGAATTACACAATTCTAATTATCTATTTTTGCTCTCTTGTCATTCACTCTAAAAAAAAACCCTAGCCATTCCATACACTTTCACCACTACTGAAGACTCATTGCAAAAGGGTGTTCTTGGAGAAGTTCCACATTAGAATTGCTTCAAGGGTTTCTTCTCTTGAATTTATTTTCACTCATGTTGTGTATTTTCGTTTTAATTTTTGTGAACATGATGTGTAACTAAGTTCATAGCTAGGGATTTCGATGTAGCATTGCAAAATTGATCCATGTTTTTAAGTTAAAGTATTCAGTTTATCAATCTGCTTTCTGTTTCATTCACTAAATCTATTGTTAAATTTGTTTGTTGATTTTAATGTTTGATCACCATTAAGGTTAACTACATATCATTTAAACAAGATTATAGTAAACATCAAGCTTAATCTTGGTAGACATGTGAATGAATGAAGAGAATGCTATGCATACATGTTGCCATGTATTTTCTTTGGTTCTTTAACGTTTTCATGCATGCTAACAACTCTTAATTAGGAACCGAAGTTGAACATCCCAATTAGGTTCTAGATTAGTAGAATTTGATGAAAACCACACATCATATGGTTGATGATATATATGTAAAATGACATCAGGAAACGGGTTGGTAGTTGAATGCGGCATAACTTTATAAACATGGAATTGGTTTTGTAATGGTGAATTCGAATCCCTGGCCTCATCCCCATTGTTTCTACATCACTATATTATTCGTTGCTACATACTTCTTGCATTTTAAGTGATTTAAGTTTACAGCACAAAAACTACTCTCAATTGGTTACCTTCATTCTTTAATTAGGGTTCTTTCAAAGTTGGTAATTTATAGAGGTCTAATCAGTCCCTGTGGTTCGACACCTTTACTTGTGCCATTATACTAACCATATTTTTTCACTAGGAAGGAACACAACAAAATTATGGCGCTGTTGCCGGGAACTAATTTTAGTCCCCTATAATTGCTTGTTTTTGTTTAGAACCCTATCTATTTTCATTTAAAGTTTAGATTCCTAAATTCTGTTTTTTTTTTCTTATGTAGTATATGTCAAATAAACTTGTTGAGATAGGCCAAAGACTTGAACGGTTAAAGGGCAACACCTTCGAGAACTTTGTATCAACTAGTGCTCTGATTAACCGTGAAGAAGAAGATGACAATTCTTCTAGATCAACGAGTGTAGGTGCTCATTCTGAGCACTCTAATTCGGACAGAGAAGAAGAGATGGCTGACAATAATGATGACAATTGAGCTTTAGAGGATTATGCTCATTCGATTATACCAAGTTCACCTTCATGCATCTTGCTGCCTCCTGAAGCTAGAAACTATGATCTGAAATCTTCACATTTTCACATGCTTCCATCTTTTTATGGTTTACCTAACGAAGATCCGTTAGCCTATATTAAAGAATTCTATAATGTTGTGAGTGGTTTACCTTTGTAGGGAGTGAATGAAGCAAATCTGAGGATGAGGGTCTTTCCTTACACATTGAAAGATAAGCCTAAGGGTTGGCTAATGACTTTAACACTTGGTTCGCTCACCACTTGGGATGCTGAAGCTAAGAAATTTTTAGATTATTTTTTTTCTACTCAAAAGACAGACACTTTGAGAGGGCAAATCTTTAACTTTAAGCAAGATAATGGAGAACCTTTTAATGAATGTTAAGAGTGCTTTAAAGGCCTTTTGCTACAATGTCCACATCATGGGTTGCCTCATTACTTACAAATGAAAATTTTTTATGATGGATTAACCCAAACATGTCAATCAATTGTTGATAATGCAGCAGGTAGGGCTTTGAAGAAAAAGAATGCTTAAGAGTCATATAACATCTATGAGATGTTGGGATCTAATGCTCAACATAAAGATACAAGAGGTAAACGAGTTGGAGTGTATAAAATGAGTTCTAATAATGATCTTGCACTGCAGGTGGCTAGTTTGGAAAATAAGCTTGATTTTGTGCTCAATACGGTGCCCAAGATAGCTGAGGTGTGTGCTATTTGCAACATACCAGGTCATCCTACTTATCAATGCTCAGCTAGTGAGGCTTATCTCGAATTCGTCCAAGAGGAAGTGAATCTTATGAACTCTTACAACCAAAGGCCAAGGAATAATACATACTCTAATACATATAACCCTAGTTGGAGAGATCATCCCAACCTCTCATGGAAGAATAACAATCAGTTTCAAAATTTCTAACCAAAGCCTCCCACTACACTTGAAGATACGGTCAAAATGCTAGCTCAAAACACCGTTCAATTCTAACAAACTACCAATAGTACGCTCCAACAACATTTAGCTACTCTAACCAAAATGGAGATACAATTAGGTCAGATTGCAGAGTGAAAGAGGGGCCGGAAAGTTTCTGAGCCAACCAGTGATACTTCAAAGGAACCAAGAGCAGGCCAAAGCAATTACTACACTTAGAAGTGGTAAGGTTATTAATAATGGAGTTGGCAATGAAGTTACTAATGAATCTGATCATGTGAATGCAAGTGCCACTTAAGAAAAGAATGAGAAACCGAATGATGATCTAAGCAATGCCACTTCTTCATTTGAAGCTCTAAATCTTCACAAGGCTGAAAAACCTTACACTCCTCTTATCCCATTTCTTGGAAGACTTGCCAAAAGCATGCAAGATAAGTCATTTAAAGAAATTTTTGATATTTTAAGTAAAGTGAATGTTAATTTACCTTTGCTTGATGTCATTAGGAATATGCCAGCGTACGGGAAATTTTTCAAAGAGCTGAACAACTATAAGAGAAAGTATGGACCTAATGAGAAGGTGATGGTGTCTAAAAATGTGAGTGTTGTGCTTCAAAGAAAGCTCCCACAAAAACTCAAGGATCCGGGTAGTTTTTCTATCAACATCACTATTGGAGACAAGCTAGTAGAAAAGGCTATGCTCGATTTGGGTGCTAGCATCAATTTAATACCCTATTTAGTGTATCTTCAATTAGGTTTGTGGGGTTTGAAGGCAACAACCATTTCATTGCAACTTGCTGATCGATCAATGAAATATCCAAGAGGTACAGTCGAAGATATCTTAGTTCAAGTTGACAAACTAATTTTGCCTGTTGATTTTGTAGTGTTAGATATGATAGAAGTTTCTATACATGATTGTGAGTTACCTATATTGCTTGGGAGACCCTTTAGGGCCACTGCGAAGACTATCATAGACGTGTAAAATGGTCTTCTCACCATGACTGTGCTAGGAGAAACTGTGCAATTCAAAGTGTTTGAATCTCTTTCTCACCCTTCTGGTTCACTTGATTGTTCTTTGGTTGATGTGTTTGATTTGCTTATTTTCACCAAGTTTTTATAGGCACAATCCATGGAACTATTACAATTTGTTTTGAGTCAATCTTAAGATGAGTTTGACGAAGAATATGCACTCATGGAAGTGGTGGTTGCCTTGGAAGCATTAAAACCATATCCTTCAACTATTTTACCTTTTATAGAGCCATTAGAACCATTTATCACATATCTGATCCCTTCCATTGTTAAGCCTCCAAAATTTGAGCTTAAACCACTTCCACCACATCTAAAATACGCTTACTTAGCTAAACTTGAAACTCTTCCAGTTATCATAGCATCTGACTTCACCCCAACAGAAGAAGATAGGCTAATTAGGGTGTTAAAAGAGTTCAAATCAGCCATTGGCTAGTCTATTGCAGTGTTGGAAATGTGCCCTAAAACCGATCATATGATGATACTTTACGGATATTTCACATGTTAAACTAATCTAGTTTAATATAAAGAGCAAAGATTATTGTTTTAAGTCGTCTCATATAAATGTTATATGCTTAAACGATAAGTCCAAGGAATATGTAATTGGGAGAATGTGATCTAAAGAAGTTAGATTCATGAAACCATTTTCTTTTGTATACATATCCTAAACATTCCTGATCATAGGATTGCCAATTGGGCATTGACATTCTGTTAAGATCAGTACGTGCTATGTCTTCTCTTAGGGAGAGTGACTGGTCTCGAGTCATTGGTGTGACTGACACCAAGACAAGCTTGTAGGTGACCAATAGAGAATGAATCCATTGAACACGATCAACAAGGAGTTCTCATATTCATGTCACATGAGAACTCATGGTTGGGATAATGCAAAGTAGTCCTTTGACATGAGGCATCATAGTTGTCTTGTGGTTAGGTCCTTGATCTTTGACTATGTCAAAGTCACTCCGTTAGAGGGTGTCCATGGCATAGTTGGGGTTAAGCCACTTAGCCATGAAGGCAAGTGAATGCGCAACAAGAGATCTCTAACCTTCAAACCATTTGAGGGAAAATACTCTATGATATGATTAAGAATCTTTGGCTAGAGTATGAATGAGATTTAGGAAGTTGTTCTAAATCACATTCAAGGTAATCATATAAGTAAGATGTTGAGAACATAAAGTTATATTTATATGTCCTCTTTTACTTAGGTTTTTGGCTTAAAATCTCTATGCATCACAAGGTATTTTTTTTGTTTGTATTGTATTTCAGGATGAAAGTAAGGGCTTGAAGAAATCATCTTATTTTGAATATTGTAACAAGTGGCCCAAGATTTGCCAGGAAAGACCCTTGCAGAACAATTAGCTTGCGAGCTTTGCCCTAAAGTGCTCAGAACAAATTAGAAAATGGGCCATAGATGGTTGGAAAGCCTTGGAAGCCTTTTTTCTGATGGTCTTTACAGCTTGTGATTTGGAGGTTTCGACAAGAAATTATGATAGAATTAAGAGGAGTTGTTCAGTTACAAATTTTGATAACAGCTAGTTTTCAGTTACTCCAATATTAAAAGTTGGTTGTTATGAGCTTTAAGGATGTAAATGTGTTGGATGTTAGATAAATCCTAAGCCTTTTAATAGGAGACAAATACTCAACAGAAGGAGGAAAATCTGGAGAGAGCATAAGTCTTCAGCCTTGAGCAGTTTCTAGGTTCTAGCTTTCTTAATTTTTTATGTATTTTGTTATGTTTTTAATTTAGTTTAAGGATACTTAGGGCTGCTGTGAAGCCCAAGACATGATTGAATTAATGTTATGATGCAGTTTTAGTTTATCAATTTCATTTGCAAGCTAGAATCAGTTTTCTGTTTCAATCATTTCAAGCACATATTTTCAAGCTTAGCTACCTTGTTTATGTTTGCATTTTGTTGAGAATGATAAGGATGACTGCCATATCTTCTTTCATTCATTAGCAATATGTGGTTAGTGATGTGAAATATTCTAACACTCAAATTAAAACCCTATGATTGTAGTATATGAAAGTAGGGATCATTTTAGGACAGGGATTAGAAGGGATGCTAATCTACTCAATTTAAACTCTAAAACACTAAACTAGACTCAAAAACAGAAAATTAGACTCTTATGACTCAAAACAAACTAGAATGACTCAAAACAGCATAAAATAATCAAATAGACTCAAACTAGACACTAGGGATTACTTTGAACGAATTCTAACTTGACTCAAAATACTAAAAGACACAAGTTTGGACAGATTCTAACTAATTTGACACAATAAAGTAAAGGGGGATTGGATTTTGGATGAAATTAAGGTAAAAACAAACAAAATGTAAACTTAAACTAAGTTGCACGAAATTGGGGTGAATGGATGGGTGAAAAGCTAGCTAGAGGGTCCTTCTCCACACATGACACACTTGCATACAAATTGATTTCCAATTGCTTTTCTAATAAATCATGAACCTCAACACCCCGGATTAACCGTGAATAGCACTAATTAACCCTCAGGTTTTCCTTAAGTCATTGAATTAGATGGAATACGCATCGGTAACCAAATTATTCTTTAATAGTTCCCTACATGAACAACATAATAGAGATACAATCAAAGATCATTAAGCTTTGTGAAAATCATAAGCATTGATAAGGCATTCGTAACTATGAACAACATGATACTCCTGCTAGGAATTCACTTAACACGATTGTGACTAGCAACCTCCACTACTTATGAATATAAGTTGATAATGATTAGGTGAAACTCCCTTATATTCTAGCATCAAATTCATGCATGCAAACTAAGCGGGCCCTCTTAATCAACACACAAGAATAAGTTATTAATCAAACAGTTAAGTAAATTGTATTCACAATTTATGAAATCACAACTGGAAGTAATCACTTCATATTGCAAATATAATCATGGTTTCAAAGTCTCCTCTAACTAAAACGAATTTAGTTCCTCATGTTCGCAAAACAAAGATAATTAAATTTAAACATTGAAAACAAAGAATAGAATACACCTAGAAACGCTCCAACAATCCAAAGTCTTGAATGGCAAACACGGCTCCAGGTGGCTCCTCTTTCCTTGTTGCGCACAATGGGGATTTTCTGAATTTAGGGTCTTGAGGTGTGGTGGATGGTGTGGTGATCTGATGGTAGAGGGTGGTGGTTGATTTATGCGGCATAATGTAGTATTTATAGGCTAGGGTTTAGCACAATTTCTGAAAGGAAAAGGATTGCACAATGGAAAATGACTAGGGTTTGGCAGAAACCAAGGGGGAAAAGGTTCACAAGGTGTGGCAGGTTCTTAGGCTTTTAGAAATGGGTTTAGTGACAGGTTTCTAGAAGGACAAGGGATAAGATATGTGGCACAAACTAAGGGGACGAAAATAGGGCTTCTAGAACTTGATATTCAGGTGATTTAATGTGAAAAGGAGTCTTCTTTGTAGCTGGAATTAAGGTAGGAAAAGATTACGATAGGATACGA